AAACTTGGAGCGTGAAATGAGAGAAAAGGAACTCAATTAAGTGCTATGCCTTCACTCATGGAACACAGGCTAAGCACTAGGCGCTGAGTTTAATCATCTGTTTGACTTAATAAACCAAATCAGGGCTCCCTGACATCAAGCCCCAGGTCACCGTCAGCTAAGAACTTAACTTTCCATTCCTGAGCTGCCCTGCCTTATCAAAAATGCCTTACCCGCTCCTGGTAAGTAAATAGGAGGACTTATTGCTCACTCCAGCAAAGCTTTAAACTTTTCCAGTCTAAAACAGTTTGAAAGGAAAGAGAAAAACAAATCAAGTTGAACTTTCTACCTTAAAAAAAAAAAAAGTCACCTGAAGTCAGTTTCTAAGGCATAAATCTTAACCAACAATTTTTTTTTTAACCAACAAGTTCTTAAAGAAAAAGTGTGACCCTAAACCAGCACACGTTTTGGTACATTTTTTTAAGCATGTCCCCTCTGTTATTCATGACCCAGAAAAATGACAAACAGATCATTCTGGAATTTTCCCCTAACTTTCCACTGTACTAATGGACAGCTTTGATTGGTGGAGGAAGCTTCCGAGTTTGCACATCTGTTAATAACGTTGAGTTGAAGCAACAGCTAGGACCGCTTTTCTCTTATCAGGGATAATTGAGCTTATGGATGGCGGGACACAGGGGTGCTTTGCTGGAAAGTACAAAATGATATTGGCTCAGCTACCTGCATCATGCACTGAACTTTTTTTTGGTTAGGGGATCCACAATGCTGTTCTGGGTAGGCCATCCAAGGAGCCTCCCTCTTCCCTCATTCACTCAGGGCCATTCCATCAAACGTACCTAATGTCCAGGCAAAGTAATACTTGGGCTTTGAGGCTTGCATGACAATATATAAGTAGCAGAGTCGAGTCAGAAAGTTTGCTTTATGAACAAACCAGTCATCGACCAGGCAGGTGACAGGGAAGGACTTCGTGAGCGTCAAAAACAGGAGGAGAGACACCAAGGTCATGCACAGCTTGTGTTTCACAGCTCTCTGAAAATGTGGAAAAAATCAGGGTAACCATGCAAGACTCCCATATGAGGAAAACAATTTCAGCAAGGGTACCTTAGGGACAAAGCGGTTCCAATAGCTGCTTTGGTAATACTCCTTACAAGGAGCGGCAACAGGCATTCCTAGGACACAAACTGGATGCTGGGCTTAGGGGCTAAATGCAAGAAAACTATTACCAGCACATTCTACTGACAAAAGGAAGGTAGTTTGTTCTTTGGTTTTTTTTTTTTAAGATTTTATTTATTTCTTTGAGAGAGAGAGAGAGAGAGAGCACGAGCAGGAGGAGGGTCAGAGGGAGAAGCAGGCTCCCGCTAAGCAAGGAGGCAGGACTCGATCCCAGGACCCCAGGACCATGACCTGAGCTGAAGGCAGCTGCTTAACTGACCGAACCACCCAGGTGCCCCCAAAAGGAAGGTGGTTTTATTACCCAAAACATCAGAGAAAGAGCATTACTGGAGCACCTGGGTGGCTCAGTCGTTAGGGAGCCTGCTTCTCCCTCTCCCACTCCCCCTGCTTGTGTTCCTGCTCACTGTCTCTGTCAAATAAATAAATAAAACCTTTAAAAAAAAAAAAAGAGCATTATAGAGTGCAATCTTCCATCAGAAAGGAATAACAATTTGCCTTCTACTTCTGTTGCCAGCAGAGTTAAGGAAATAGGTCTGAATCACCACAAGGAGGACAGAGGCTTAAGCTAGTAAGGATTCTGTGCAAGTTTTAAAATGCCTGAGCCGGGACATGAGCAGGTAATGGAGAGTTTTAGAAAGCCTTCCAGGATGGTTTACATGTAGTCTGCTCTAACATTAAGATGCACTGACATTTTAAATGCCTCTGGACCGAGTGATTTTGCCCAGTTTTCCCGACATTCCAGGGAATGTCTTTTAACATCAATAGAACTATAGTTCCCAGTTTTATAAAAACAGGCCACTTTCTGGGTGGGGCACCTGGGTGGCTCAGTCCGTTAAGCATCCAACTCTTGATGCTGGCTCAGGTCGTGGGTCGGGAGATCGAGCCCAGTGTCAGGCTCCGCACTCAGTGCCAAGCCGGCTTAAGAGTCTCTCCCTCCCTCTCTGCCCCTCCCCCGACTCAGGCTTGCACTCTCGTGCACTCTCTCCATCAGATAAATAAGTCTTAAAAAAAATAAAAATAAAAACAGGCCACATTTTTTGTAATATGGGGATAGTAACAGCACCTCTCGGAGCGGCTTGAGGTTCAGGTGACTGAATATTTGCCAGGTACCCAGCATCGGGCTCCCAGTCAAGTGCTCACCATGCGTGGCTGCGATTATCGACAACACACTGGGGAGGCACCAGCCTGGGAGTGCCAGCCGCCTCCCCCCGATGTGCCTTTAGCCAAAATATCATCTGACCGCTTCACTTTCTCTGTGCACAAAAATGCAAGAGTCTCCCCGGGGAGTGATATTAAGACTCTGTGATTATATTCTCTAAATAAGAGCATGTGAAACACCAGAGCACTACCATGGCGGATTCTGCCAATAAACTCCTGTGAGTACTTCGATGTCTCATGGCCATGGTGACCTCACTCCCACATTGTTTCAATGACGCAGGAAGAGCTGACAGTTGACAAACCATACACTGCTGGACACCTGTGTTCAGACAGTCAAAAACTATCTGAAAATTCATGCTTAGTAAGTCACTTAAATTTTCAAATAATTTTGCCTAGATTTTAGCATTTACAAAGTATTTAACTCAGTCATCCTGATTTTCTCCTTTTTCCAATTTTCCCTCTTCCTTCAACTAATTACAAACGTCCCTTAAATATAGGATATTGGACCTGAATAAATTCAGCATATTTGTCAAGTTCGACATGTTATCCTAATGCTGACTAATCTGAAATTAATAAAATCCAAGTTAAGATTAAAATAGGATTTCCAAAAAACCATCTTAAACTCTCCAAATCAGTAAAACTAATCTTTAAGCATGCCAACATAAAACAGGTTTCCCACACAAGAAGCAGGCTCTGCAATAAAAAAAAAAAAAAAAATCACATTTTTTCTGGTTCCAACTCCCTCCCCATCCCCCTTTCATGACATTATCCTTTGGCTGGATATGAATTTCTATTCATAAAGACAAAAAAGCACTCATAAATCCGAATGTGTTAACCAGCACAGTGCTGAGCACACTGTAAGCATTAAATATTGGCAGGTTGACCTAGTGGATCGATTCTTTAATATTTCCAGCCCATGAGCTCCGCTGTGAGGGAAACGGGGGTGGGGGGAGTTACTGGCCAAGCTTTCTGGTAAACTGTTTGGCTTTTTAATTAGAACAATTACTAGTGAGAGTCAGCCCTGGCAACGGAGCTCTATTTTTCTGGAGCTCTGGGTAAATACTTGGCACTAAACACTTACAGTGGGAGAAGGCTCTGGTAGGCTGTGGAAACCTCTCTGCTTCCAGTTCACTTCCAGCAACTTCGTGTGTATGTGTCTCCCCTCAATAAAGGCTATATAATCCTTGAAATTGTTGCAAGGGCCAGCTATGACACTCATGAAGTTGAGAAGGTAGCTTAAGTATTCCAAAAAAGAGGGTTTTACTCTGTGAAAATAAAGTGAAAAAAAATTGAAAAGCCTTCAGTCTTGGATTTTTCTCTGAGATCCACAGGTCATCCAATCCTAAACACAGGCGTTGTCTTTGTAGATGATAACACATGACGTGGTCTTTCTTTGTTCCGGTTCTCTCAAAATCCACCTAAGCTAGAAACCTTGTGGAAAGGACAAGTTAATAGAGGTGGGTGGCTCCGAGAAGGTGCAGTGCTCCGTGGCGCCCTCTGCTGGCCGACGGCGGCTACAGACACGGAGGGCGAGGTCCAGGGAAATTCTGAGGCTGGGACGTGCTCTTTCTCAGCAACCTTAGCTGTCTGCAAGAGAGAATGAAGGTAATAAACACCAGGCAGGGATGGGAACCCGACCTAATGTGAGCTGAGCGAGATGCTGTGAAATGGGAAAACTCCCTCCCAACTGCCAAAATAAACACAAAACAAATGATGGGTGGAACCAGTTTCCACTTGAAGAGGACACACAAAAACCACCACTGTAGCAGTCTCCTGTCTGCTTTGGCATCCGGGCACGAGGTCCCCAACCACAGACAAAAGTAGTGGCGGGGAAAAATTCTATAGAGACCAGTTCTAGGTAGTGGTGTTTTAATGGCTTTTAACGGGGCAGGATAGTATTGTGGGGAAAGGCTCCCTAAAATACCATTGCTAACCAGTCACTGGAATTACGCCCTACAGCATTTACATCCCCACAATACTGAGCAAAGAATCTGATTCATTAGTCTCCTGCAGTGGGTCTCCATTGCTTCGAGTCCCAATCCCTTAATGTGAAAACGAGGCACTCAATCTCCATACCACTCAGGACCCTCTCTTCCTTACCCCTGACTACCTCCTGAAAGTCTCCTATAGGAACCCTCCACCGTGGCTGCCCATCCTTCCCCGATGTGCTACCCCACAAGCCATTTCCATTCCCTGTCAATGTTGTTCTCCTCCCTTACAGCCTCCCTTTCTCCAACACCCACACCAGCCACAGTCTGCCTTCAGCCTGCTTCCTGCTTCCTCCTGCCTTCTGTCTCCTACTCCCCAGCTCACAGTCCTCTCTCCAGCCCTGCTTCCCATCCGTCTTCATAGCCGCATTTAATCATACTGATGTGCACTGATAATTTATTGGGCAGACACATACCCAATAAAAATAACTCTGTAAGAGACCTAACAATGGCAGTGAAGGAGAATCTTGCAAAACTAACAGAATTACAGACCCATGTATTCTCTCGCTCAGCTTCTGGGACTCTATCCCACCGCTATACCCAAACCCCTTTAAAATGACCTAGGAACAGGGTTTGTAAAAGCCAAAGATTGGCAGACAACCCAAGTATCCATCAATAGATTCATTAATAAACACTAATATGACCATATAGTGGAGTTAATCTGCATTGAAAAATGAGGAGGATTTCTAGACGCTGATGTACAAAGGGCTCGAGAATATATTGTTAAACTTACTTCACAGCAAGTCGATGTTGCTCAGCAGAGAGGTCTTCAGCTCTTCGACCTAATCCTATAAAAAAGAAAAAATGTAGAAATAAGATGTTTGAAGTAGAAAATTCTAAAAGAGGCTAATAAAAGTCATTTGAAAAAAAAGTGATTTATTTCACATTTCATTTATTTCATAAATCATAAAATCATTTTTTTAAATGCTCTGGATTCAAGAGCTACCTGCAAGTGCACGTGTGAGGGGGGAAAGTCTCCGCAGGTTCTCGTGAAGAGGGGAGAAAGCAGGGGTTACTCCTATTTAAACTGCATGGTATGACATGGGTCCCAGAGAACTCCCGACATCTCCTCCACTTCTTACCAAAGTACATATGTTTTCACTGCTACGAGAGAGAGAAGCCTGCCTTTGCAGCCTGCACCAGCTCAAAGACCTCTCTGATTAGGCTGGCTGCAGACACCTGCTAGCAACTGAGAGCACGGGTGTGGAATGGGGAAAGGAACCGGGGATTTTCCTCTTCCAAAAACACAGGAAATGTAATCCTGAATGCAGGGAAAACATAAAAGATGTATCAGGTGATTCTTCTTCTTTTAAAATTCATCCATGCCAGAGAAAAACAAAAACAAAATCACCTTTGTGCTTCTCATAAAATTTATGTTAGCTTATAGTTGCAGAAACTGAAGTGTCATCTAATAAGCTATAGACATTGGACTACAAAGCTGTATATCCAGCTAAGACTGATGATGGTCACCAATCATAAAGGCAATTCAGAAAAATGCATAAAGGAAGACAGTGTTTGCTGTTCCCACTACACACAAGAAAAAAAGAAATGACAAATAAACATCTTGCTGCACATAAGGGTTGTTCCAGAAAGTCAGGTAAACTAAGAATGCTTTAAAAAGTAATTTAGGCAAAAAGCCTATTTAAAAAAAAAAGACAGTGTTTTTCTTTTAAAAAAAAATCACACTCACTTTTTTCTAAGATGTCAACAATACATTTCTGGCAATCCTAGAAATTAAACTGATTTTAGCTATTGGTTTATGTGCTAATATTAGTCTATCACCACTACCAACTAGACTTTTAGGTATAAAAACATTTATCAACTCGCCCCAATTTGCCCTGGACTTTTCCAATTTGGGCCCTAAAAGTCTCATGTCCTGGGAAACTGCTCAGTTCTGGACAAACCAGGACAGTTGGTCACCCTAGAAAGACCCCATCCTTGGTATAAAATTACCCAGTTCTCTACAGAATGACTAAATCACCAAGTATGAACTAGGAATACCCAGGGTCAAAACGAAATCAGTTCCCAAGCTTTAAAGAAAAATAAGACTAGCTAACAGAGATTGTAGATCTTCTCAACCTGTTTGCACATAAAGAAGCTTCAACAGTCCGAAAGCATTTGCCAGAACAGTACAAATCTGCAGAGTATACTTTTACTAACTGCACCTGACACCTCTTACACCCATATTGAAATCTTCCACCCGGCTGAAAGTGCCGTCCTCCTTCCCTGGAACCAGGTTTTAAATCATGTAAATCACACTTTCTCGTCATTTTCAGGAAGGGCATGAGCAAAGAAAATGTTCAGTTTTATACAAACAGAAGCTTCTTCCTTCTTCCAAGGAGAAGGGTCAGGCTAATCTCATTAGATAATTTTCCAAGCCAAACAACAAAAACAAAAACACTAAACAAAACAAAACTAGCACTAAAAAAAAAAATGGCTAACCAGCCAATACTATTTTTTATTACCTTGTGAGCTTCTCAGAGTAAACCACAGAAAAAGGATGGCATTTCTTCTCAAGAGATTTGGAAATGAAGGGCAGAGCGCGCCATAAATTTAAAACATTATAAATGTAAACAGAAAACCAACTGTTCTCGGTGTAAATACTTCAGCAAATTTAGATTACAGAAATAATAGCTGTGAAAGTAAAGAGCTTTGATTAAAGAAGCTTGTAAATTTTTGACAAGTTATAGAAGATTTGCCAGCACTTGGCTAAACTCTGGACTATGGGTATAGTCTAAACAAAGAGCTCACTCTCAGAACCGAAAGGAGAGTTGTTTTTCTCACCATCATGAACTTGGAATGCCAAGGTCGTGATCTTCTGTGTGACAATCATCAGAGGCCTAAAAGGAAGACAGAAGAGAATCGATTGGGAGAAGGACCACTAGAAGAAACATTTATTCTATTTCCCTGCATGGTGGTTGTTCATCTTGAAGGCTATTCAATAAAATGAAAAAAAAAAAAAAGATGGAATTCAAAAATTCCCTTCCAGATCACTTTAAATAAGTAGATATAACAGCACTGAATGAGAGGACACCAGAAAGCCCCTCTTGCACTGTTCCTCCAAGTGTAACTTCCAGGACCAGCACCATCAGCATCCTCAGGGGTTTGTTAAAAATGCAGACTCTCGCACACTCCATTCCAGAACGAGAAAATGAGGACCTGCATTTTAATAAGACCTCTAGGGAGACTCAGATGCACATTAAAGTATGAGCAGCCCCAGTTTGGGGGATACCTAATTCAGTGCCCCGGTTCCACCTGGATGAGACATATATTCTGGCTTCTTCATCCTAATTGTTCTAACACATGTTCTATTAAAGGTAATTCTTCTATGCACACATAGTAAGAGATACTTTTGTAAAATGCAGCCACCTGTCAATAAACCATTTAGTGACAAAAAATAAGACCAATCCTAATTTGAAAAAAAGACATCAAATAAAAGCTTGTCTAAGAAGTGGCACCCATGTCCACAAGGATGCCAAGGTAATTCAACAGAGGCAAGAATAGCTTTTTTTTTTTTTTTAAAGATTTTATTTATTTATTTGAGAGAGAGA